CAAACGAAAAGAGCCTAGACAAATGCACGTCAATTCTAACCTGTGTCCAATCTTCTCATTTTTGACTTTCTAGAGTTGTGACCATCCTGACTGCATTGCTGGAACATGTGATTTTTTGGAAACAGCATGTGATGAAGCAGTTTGCCTTGTGAACACATTTATGACAGCTCAGAACAACTTCACCTCCTGATTTATGCTTAAATCATTGCCATCATCAAGTCAATCAATTCATATTTTATAAGGATACCATCGGTATGGAGATCCTAAATGGACCCGTTCATTTCGTGCGTCTGGTCAAGCAGACTAAAATTCTTCAAGACCTATCACTCTGTCTTTAGGTTACAGAAGACAAGCCAGTAACTAACATAAAAATGTCAATGATGTGACTTATGCTAATGAATCACAGTTCATGCAAGGAGGGAAAAAGATGAAGAAAATACGCAAGGACAGCATAACTTGTCAAGGAAATTGGATTGCCACTTTAAAGGATTTATATCAATTTGATTCCTGGACCTGGCTTTTAATTAACGGCTATTGAGTAATATTAACTATTCCTCAAGAACAGTTTTGGGGAAAAAATCTGGAGGATGACATAAGCCTTGTTATGGAATGGTTTCCTGGCAACTGTGATAAATTACAGCAGTAAACTCATTTTTCGACTGTTTCTCATCCCCTGCAACTTCAACTGATGGAGCACCTCCTCTGTGACCCACTGTGCATTAACACAAGGCATTTTCTTACTGTTCTTCCCCGTGCTACCAAAGTTTTGTTTGAATAACTGCACTTGGGAAGCTAAACAGGCCATTCAGTACTCTTAGAGTTTTGATGCCTCCCTTTTGTGAGTTCACAGAAAAATGTTAAATAAAAGTCTTTACTAAATCCTTTTTATAAATTCAATATGAAATTGGATCTGGGTCAGAACTGTCTTTAATGGGATATTCATCCAGAAGAAAAGTTCTTTGAGGGATAAAGAAGATGGAAATATACTTTACAGATATACTTCTGCGCTCCAGAACCTCTCACAAATGTTCAAAGATGTTTTGATCTGGCGACTGGACAGGCAGTGAAAGTCATTTGACTTCATTATGGTGCTTATATAACCACTTGAATCGCTATGAGGGAATTGTTGTCTTGGAATATAGAAAGAACACGAGGGAAGAGTATTTGCACAATAGGATGCACTTGCCCCTGTAAAATGGCCTCATACACCTTGGCCATTGCATGCAGAGAGAGCATTAGACCTAGTGATTTCCACAAGATGGCTGTGCATGCCATTGCGGATCGCACACTCTTTTAGCCAAAAGTATCTTGGGTTAACAGGCATCCTTGCACCAGATCATGCATCTGTTATGCATATTTGGCAATGGCTTTGGATACAAAGTATCAGCAGCCTACATTTCGATTTGTTAAAGGTCTTCGCTGACAATGGTACAGGGTACCAGGCCCACATGCTTGGAATTTTATGGCGGACATAACAGTAATTTTGTACTTCCTTGACTCTCCGTATGCTTACATTGCTTTGGCCTTCAGCGTTGTTACACCTTACAGCAGCTTATCTACCATCTTTTTCTGGGAGTAATCTGAGAAATACACACGTCTGGGTCCCACCGCAGAGGCTCCGGCAAAGAGGTCAGACACTCTGCTCCAATAGGAGTGATTCAGCTTAGCCAATGGGAAATCGTCCCTCACTCCAGATATTTCTGAGGCTTGGAATAAGATAATATGACACTAATATTTCCCAGAACCTTTCAAAGTGTATTGTCTCCACCTCCTTCCAGTGAACACTGCTTGTGCCCTTACAGTAAAGTATACCACTAATATCTAGCACTGAGCTGGTATTAATAATCACACAAATTGACTACATGAGTCAGAAATTGTGATACAATAAATTAATTCTCCAATTAATGCTATTGACAATGGTCTAAATTGGTTCAGCACTGTCTGTGCTTATAGTTAAATTGTTTAATGTCAGTGTCCTTAGTAGTAGAAATTTATCTCTTCATTAAAATCTACTAAAATGTCCTGAATAAACTTTGTATTAGTTAAGTGGTAACTCTATTTACTTGTCATTATCATTAATAGGATACAGACATGGCCTTTGGACAGCTAATAGATAGTGCTTAATGCCTACCTAGTACTACAGTTTATTATCTCCAGGTTCTGCTAACACAATGCTTGAACAAATCGAAACAGCACATGGTCATTCTCAGCTCTCTGATATCAACTTCCAGCTCATTTTAATGTCACTTATTGGAAACCTTCTGCTTGACTGCAAAAACTTACTCGATGTACAATGATTTATTCAGTAAGAAATACAAGACATTATAGTTGGAGTTGATTTATCTTGATTGAATTTCACGCACATCTAAACTCATGATTGAGAAGGATACTGGTGTTCTAGACATTTTTCTACACACATCAGCTACATTGAATCACCTGCCAATACTTTAGGATGCTTTACAGTCAATGCAGCTATATTTATGCAGATGGTAACTTTTCAACCCCAATCATTTTTTGCAACTGTCTTCTGTAATAGTGTTTTTGTACTTGGCATCTCTAAATTGTAAATTGTAATTGGTATCTCTAAATTGTAAATTGTAATTGGCATCTCTAAATTGCCTGTAGTCTATGATTGTGTGGTTAGGTGACCTGTGATGGGCTGGCATTCTGTCCCCAGCTTTGTCCCCTGTGCAGCCTGGAATAGACTCCACACCCCCCTTCAACCTGTTTCCGATGCTATGGCCCTTCACAGATGTTTCTGTGCAGAGGTCGTAATTTACGTTTTTGTTTTTTCCTGCCAAAAAGAATTCCCGCTCCTGATGTCAGTTACACTTCTCAATGGTCCCATTTATCTATTTTAGTTTATTGGTGCTGTACTGTCTTCCTACAGCTCAGAACAGCTGGCTTCCAAAGTAATCCTGGGGGGCTGCAGTGTGGAAATCATGCTGGCTCTGGGCTACACAAAGACCACGCTTCTGCATCTGTACCTTTCAAGGTGCCTTAATGTGCTTATCAAAGCACAAAATCATAACACTATTAAAGAAGCTCAGTTTTAAATGAATGCACCACTTCACAAGAAGTCAATTATAACAGTCTTATCTGAACAGACATTTGTAAAATCAAGTTTATGTTATTTTATACGTCTAATCGGTGATACTTTAATAGTGCAAAAATATTGTGGAAATATGGACTTTCGCCTAAATATTAAAGTTGTAAATTATGTATGTTCACAGTGCGAGTAATCAATAGCTTGAGCCAGTATTTGTTTTGTGCTGAACTGTGCAATATTGCTTGTTTAACCATGGAGCATTAATCATGGGAAAATAAGGTAATGGCAGTTAAAATATGCCTGTGCGGAGTTCCTCAGTGTCCCGTACTGGAGAATATATGAGTCCCCAGGGCTGCCTCAGGCCTGGAGATTGCACCCATGTTGCACTTTGCGCTGGGGCTCCATCATCCTCTGACAGGGAAGCTCCACAGCAGCTCAGGATTACCGGTACGAGGCCGTATAACTTGTCTGAGATATTGACCTCGTTCCATGTGAGCTTCCCATCGCTGGGCCAATGTATGCATCAGTGCACCCACATGGTGTCACGCACGACTCGTACGATCCTCGTGTGTGACACGCCCCCTCATTTACCTCGTGTGAATTCCCGATTGTGATCACCTGTGTCCTGTTATTTCGGCTAGTCTTGTGTATATCAGTCCGCGTCTTCCTCTGTTTCCCAGATCGGTCGTTGATGTTGTGTGCCGTGTTTGCTCGTCTGTCCTCAATAAACCCCGTTTGCCCGTATTACCGGCTCCACGCATCTTTTTCCCTGTCCGTCTGCGCGGCGGACGTCACACATGGGCTTTAGTCAGCTGAGTGTAGGACAGAATAGGAACAAACCACTTTTTGGCAGGAACAGGGAAAACAAATAAATAAACCAACAAACCCACGGTGATCAGTCCGTGCCATTGAGACGTATCTCAACAGAGAGATTTAGGAACATCATTACATGCAGATGGAAGCTTTGCTTGGGTGACTGAAAGTTCCACATGAGGTTTAAAACTGACAGTTCCATCTGTGTCTTCCAAGTCCCTATTTTATTAGAAGGTTTCCTGCAAAATCACGGTATTCTTTCAAACACTAATTCTTGTGGAATTTTTTATTCTCACTGAAACATTTTTGCAAACTCATTCGCTTCATGTTCCTGGCGGGTCATAAGTCATCATTTAGACTCTCAGCTCAAATGTTCTAGAAATGTTCCATAACTAAAGGACAGATGTGCATCTGTAGAAGAGAGAGAGGTAAGCAGCACGCACTGATACAGTGCTTTGCCACACCCACCACATGACAAACCACCTCAGGGATGAGAACCTGAGTGCAGCCATGTGGCAGGTGATACCTCAGCACCATACTAGTCTGAGTGAATGCCAGTGGGAGGTGTCCTTCTGGTGGCTGGAGCACCAATCCTGCCACCAACCCCCAAGTTTTTCCCCTGTAAGTTGGAGGGCCTCCTTATAGGGCTGGATGTAGATTAACATCATACCCAGGCTTAACTCCATGACCCAACAGAGTAGAATCACTCTGGACATTCACAGGATTTGAACCACCAACCTTCCAGTTGCTGGTACAGATCCCTCGCCTCAGAGCCACCACTCCGTGGATTAAAATGTCTCTCCTATCTGCATGAATCTGCCCATGGACTAGTAATTGGTTTCATGTGAAGACACTCACTCAAACTGAAAACTCACCATATACAAGCTGCACATCACCCATGTATCAAGGAAATATTGGTGCTTTTAATCAGAATAAGCCTTCCTGACACAATGGCAATGCCATTAGTGAAAACTACGTATGCTTCTCAGTGCTGTGCTTTGCTCTTTGGATTTTATCACAGTAAGTCCTTTTCATTTCTTTCATTTAAGTGATCCAACATTTTCAATGGTTTCCATTCACAATCCATGAACTACAGACAAAAATGATATAAGCCCAATAATGAAAAATACATAGTGAGTACATACCATTTTCTGCTTTATTAAAAACAATTAAAATATATAAAACATGACGGTTACTTTACAGTGGACTTCAAGATGATCTTCACTTACCTTAAACATATTTAAATGCAAAAGTCTTCCAAAGACAAATAATTTAAAAACAGAAACAGTACAGTATGTTGAAGATAGGAATATTAAGTTGTTTTATGTGCTAAAACCACCATAAAGTCATACATAAATTACTGTACAATGTCATTACTACTCTATTCTGTAAAACAAGAACTGTTTTTCATTGTCAGTTAACATTAATAAGGGACTGTGAAGCTCTGTACTTTATTATTTCATGTTTATAAGGACATCTTCTGTTTTATGGCCGTTCATGAATTGTGAAAGTGAAAGTGAGGAAAACAGAATAGACCGTGCTATGAATTATAAAGAGCTTGCTAAATTGGATTCAAAATGGATGGACAGGGCATGCTGATCATTTCTACATTTAAAAATACTCTTTTTGGACAGTCCTAGATGTAGCACACAAATATAAGCAAATGATGGGGCTGATTTTCCTCTGAAAAATAATAAAATAACCAGAAATAAGGCAATCAATCAAAACAAAAAGAAAAATCTGAATACATAAATACAAAATGCCAATACACATTAGCCCGTAAGTCCACTGTTTGAAGAGATTTCTGAATTACTTTATATTATTCACAAAAATTCATAGAAAGTTTCATTTCATTAAAATGCCATAATAAACTTTTCCTAATTGACACTGAATTATGTTTTAGGGCTGGTGATGGACACCTCAACAGCAGTTTTTATTTTAATCCCTGAAATACTCCAGATAAACAGCCAATTTTTCATGCACCATCTTATTGTCTTCCAAGAAAAAAAAACCTAATGGAGCAGATAATTGCTTTGACACGATTCGGCTTTTAGCTCATAATGTACTTTAATGTTTGTCTTCAAGAAGTCTCCTTTACCAGAATATACTGCATGCACATCTGCAGTTTCATGGGCACCTGAATAGGTCTGTTAATCAGAACACCTGTAAGTAGGTTGTTTTAGAGTCACTTCCCACTACATTTTTAGCGGTACATTTGTAGGAGCCCATGTCGCTCCTCGATGGGTTTTGGATGATCAGCGACCCCTGGGGGTGCAGGTACTTGTTCCCAAAAAGACGTGGCTGGCTGCTGGCCATTATCTGCGTCTTATTGGGCAGCTCCCAGATCACGTCAGCTTTTGGGATTCCCATGGTCATGCAGTTGAGCTGAATTGCGACACCAAACCGGGCATAGGTAACGGGGCTGGGCCCACTGGTGATGCGGGGTGGGTAGGCAACCACCATCACGGGTACTGAAAGCAATGAAGCACCATACTCGTTGCTTGACCTACAGGTGTAAGTTCCCCTGTCGTACACAGTGGCCTGCTGTACCATAAGGGTTCCGTTCTGCATAACCATGTAACGGCCCATCCTCTGTGGCCTGGTTAAGACCACACCACTGGGTAGGGTCCAGGACAGCTTAGGAGGTGGGTTACCATTGGAAAGGCAATGAAGCAGAATGTTCTCACCATAGACAGTGTTCATTATGGTGTTGTACTTGTTGCTGATTTCTGGATTTCTCACAAGTTCCAGGGTGATGGTTCGTTCACTGTATCCTGCTGGATTTCGGCCCATGCAACGATACGTCCCAGCCTCCGACACCGTGGGATTCTGGATGTGCAGAGATCCATCTATTGAATGGAACAACCTGGAGGACTGGGTCCCACGCTGAAGCGGGGAACCATTGGGGAGAATCCAGGTAATCTCTGGAGTTGGAGTACCCTCAAAAGTGCAGTTGAGACTCATGGCTTTCCCAATAATGAGCAACATGGTCTCAGCTCTAGGATTCTTCAGCTGTGGTTTCTGCAGCTCTACAACCTCTTTCACATCCAGGTGGACCACTAACCTTGCCTCCCCTCCCTCGTTACGGGCAATACAGATCAGCTCAACCGAGTCTGTTTTCCTGAGGAACCGGATCTCCAGAGTTCCATTACGATGGACTGTTATTCTACTCCCAGAGTATGGAGAGGGGAGGACAACATTCTCCGGCAAAATCCACAAAACCCTGGGCACGGGCATGCCCTCTGCACTGCAGTCCAACAGTGTAGGCCGATCCTTAAAGGCCGTCTGGCGGACTATGTTCACCACATTCTTCAGGCCATTAATAGTAGGCGGAGAGACTAGCACTTCTACTCTGCTGACCTTTCGATCCTGCCCTGCAGTGTTGCGTGCCGTACAGGTGTAGTTGCCATTGTCAGACCTCTGGGCTTTCTGGATCACCAATGTCCCGTCATTATGCACCTTGTACTTTTCTGAGACATGTGCGATAACGCGGTTTGTGGGAGAAAACCACGTAACAGTTGGAATCGGTTCCCCTTTAGCACTGCAGCTTAGAGACACTGACTCGCCATACGGAACTCTTACGGTATTATAGGTTTTGTTTTTGATGACGGGAGCTGCTGTCACCACTTTAACATGGACTTTCATCTCATCCTTCCCAATCTGATTCTCAGCGTAACAGGTATAATCTCCCTCCTCCTTCATTCCTGCATCGTTAAAGTAAAGGGTCCCATTGTCAAAGACCACATACTTACTGGTGCGAATTCCACTGTCATCAGACTGCATGATGCTGTTTACCATGGTACCATCTGGCAGACTCCACTTGATCTCCGGGTTGGGAAGGCCGGATGTGATGCAGTCAACCTTTAAGGCTCCGCCATATGACACCTTCTGATTGGTCAGCTGTTTGTACTCAATCTTAGCCGGTTTCATCATTACACTAACCTTGAGAAGCACATAATCATGTCCCATTTTGTTTCTGGCAACACACAAATAGTCACCCTCGTCCTTTTCGGTTACTGCCTCGACTGTCAGTGTCCCGTTATTGAAGACTTTGATCCTAGGATCAAAACTAGAGATAAGCATAAAAAGATTAGTATAATGTTTAAAATGCTTGCAGGCTTTTGATAATGCATTTTCGTAGCAGTATCTTTGATAGTTTATTCCTAACAAAACTTAAAAAGTGAACATGAAAAATAAGGAATGTATTTAAATAAGTAAACAACAGATTTAAAAAAAAGCATCCCAAAGCAGTGCATTACTGGGTGTGGGAGGATAGGGCCACTTTAACATTTAGCATGTATTTTCTTTGCAGTGCCAACCTGACCTTTGTCACCCCCCAGCATATATATGAGTGTTTCCTTTCTCCCCCACTGGTAAACATTCCCAGATCATAATGCCTGACCCTACTCAGCTGTAACCCTGCAGTGACCCACCCCCCACTGGTGTTTCTGTCCTCCGATATGTTAGTGCTGAAATGGCTGTCTTGTCTTCATTCCATCCTGCTTCCTTCATTACACCCGTCTCCAAAATCCCTTGTTCTTCCTGCCATTCCTCTATCACACGTCTCTGCTCACTGTCCTTCTTGGAGCGAGTCTCTCACAACATGCATCTGATGCCCCTACTATGTCCTGTACATGACATTACTGCTATTATGTTTTCAGACAACATGACAAGCCTAAATTAATGATGAAAATGCTGAGCAAAGGTACAGTAGAAGTAGATTAATAATACCCAGAGTAAAATATCTATTTCACCACTAATGAACTAATTTCTGATGATGAATAAAATAATTGCATGAGAAGAAAAATGAAGCAGGGGTTCAGCAGATATAACACATACCTATAATGTTCATCAACTAGCTTCTTGGATGGGGTTCTCCATATGATTTTTGGACCTGGATCTCCAGCAGCAGTACAGTGGAGGCGTAGCTTCCCTCCATATGTGACGTCATTGTTCAGTGGAGACGCAGAGGTGATTTTGGCTGTGGAGGAGACCCTGGTCACTGTCAGGCTCACGCTCCTCCTGGACACGCCCACGGCATTGCTGGCCACGCACTCGTAGCTGCCGGTGTGCCGGGGTGAGAGATTCTGGATGTACAGCGTGCCATTCGGGAACACAAATAGGTTGCCGCTGAGAAACTGAGAGGGGCGGATCTGTGTGCCGTTGAACGTGAGCCAGCGAACGGTGGGCGGGGGGGCCGCCTTTGCTGAGCAGTGCACATAGGCCGCCCTGCCTTCAGTGAGCGTGATGTTCTCACGACTTTGCTGCTGGATGACGGGAGGCAGGGCGAGGACTTGCAGCCGCACAGAGAGAGAATCTGTGCCGGCCGTGTTGCCCGCTGTGCATTTGTAAATCCCGCGATCCGTGAAGCTTACAGACCTAATGTGAAGGGAGCCATTGCCCAGGAGCGCAACCCTCTGATCTTCACTGCCAGCCGATTGTAGGGCGGCCCTGTCGGGCATGATCCAGGAGATGCGGGGGGTGGGGAAGCCGTGTGCCTGGCATGGTATTTTGATGCTGTCCCCGAGGTACGCCGTCACGTCACGGTCATGTGGCTGCAGCATCTGGGGCTTCTGTGCCAGAACAATCAGCGTGACCATCATCTTATCCACTCCATACTGATTCTGTACAGTACATAGGTATTGACCACGGTCCAGCAGTTGTGTATTTCGGATGATGAGGCTCCCATTCGGATGCACCTCGAACCTCTGGATCCTGGTGTTCAGTGCAAGCATGGTCCCTGTATAAAAATCAATAACATACCACAAACAGAACTTTTAAACTTAAAATTAACTAAATATCAGTATTTTCAATAAACTTTATTGTGTAATGTAAATTTTACACCACAATGATCTTTCCAAATTGAAAAGCTCTTAGTATTCAAATATTTTCATTATGAATAAAATCAAGCACTTATATCACAATAATAAAGTCAATGTGATGACTGTTATAACAATTTCCCTTGTTACTTAATTCATTTTAAAGGATCATTTGAGCAATCAAACCTTTTTTTCTTTTTACACAGACTATAATAGATTTAATTTAGACAAATACTCCTAATCATTAATTTGCAGAAATTCAACAAAGGAAACAAAACTTACGCCAGATTATAGACACACATTATATATTTTTCTTTTTCTTATTCTTCCTTTTGTACATTTCAAGTGATATAGAAATGTTCCATATGTGACATATTTAAAAGGGTTGGCAGCCGTGAGATATTTTTATTTAGTTAATGGTGTCAGATGTGATCTAGCAGAACTGCTCAATGACACACAGCACAGCAGGGACATGTATGTACTCTCTCTGCATGTGTTTGTCATTGAAGGCTTCTGTTTGGTTCATTCATTCATCTTAGAGTTTCAGCCCAGTGTTTTTTTTCCAACTCTGTGTGGGGCCACAATCCTACAAATTCCAGCTACTGTCACACTGAGTTTCACATCCAGGAGAAATTATGATTAATCAGTTTTCTAACATTATAACATCAACATTGCAATGATAAATGTCTACCCCCATATTATGAATCAGCTTCAATTTGTATGAATAATAAGAGGAATTTTTTTTTTCAACATTTCAGTTATGGGACTTAGTAGTCTTTAAATGTGGTTCTGTTTATAATAAATTAATGTTTCTCAGATACATCACATCAAATTCACAATACTGTGATTTACTTTAATTTCTTTTTGCATTAATGGAGTACCTAAAATATTGCAAAAAGAGTCAGACTTTCTGTAATATTTATGATAAATAATGGCGTCATGGGTAAAAAATGGGGGGCGGGGGGTGTGGCAATACAACCCCCTCCCAAATAATTATACCGTCATGATTAATGGATGAAGACTTTCAACCCCCCAATGTTCAATCCCTTGGGTAATCCACTAAAGCAGTGTTTCTCAATCCGGTCCTAACGGACCCTTCAGACAGTCCACATTTTTGTTCCTGCTAAAGAGGAATCACCTTCAACCTACTGGGAGCAGGGAAGGAGCAAAAATGTGGACCGTCTGGGGGTCACCGAGGACCGGGTAGAGAAAAACTTCACTAAGATGCAACGTTCACTAAGATGCAATGTTAACACACATACCCGTAGAGACTTTAGTCCAGGAGAGGAAAGGTTTCGGCTCCCCAGTGGTTTCACAGGGCAAGACTGCATCCACCTCAGCATGCACAGATACCATAGGGAGGTTAGTGGTGGTGATTCTTGGCTTTCCACGTTGGACTGGCCTTGAAGGTTCTTGATGTGGGTGTTGGGACACACGCTGAGTTATGTACATAAATGGGATAGATGGAGTGTTTGTAAGTTTGGTGTCACCACCCAGACCAACATGCGGCTGAACTGTTATCCTTGTCGGTAATGTTATTGTCCTGGAGATACTTGTGGGAGCAGTCGTGATAGTCTTTCTGGTTGTTAGTACAGTGGCAGGGGTTGTCAGGATTCCTGATTTTGGAATAGTTAATCTGGAGTTACTAAGTAGTTGGGTCCTACCCTGTGTCCTGTTAAGATCAGGCATCCCTGAGAGATAATATGGGTTTGTGCTGAGTGTTGTTCCATAGTGTCTGTCAGAAACATACTTTACACCATCATTCCCTGAGCTATTAAATAATCCATTATTCATTCTGTTTAAGTGGGAATCTGGTAGAAGCTTAGATTTAGAAGATGCTGTAAAGATGACTTCTGGTGGATGTGTCACTTTTGATATGGTAGTTGCCTCAGTGACACTTGATTCAGTCGCCTGGATTACTGATGCAAACGTTGCTGCACTCTTAAATTCATTAGCTGTAGCAGTTGTTCTAGGTATGACGTCTTTCTTGGGCAATAATTTATCCTTTTCTCTTGCTGGTGGGTTTGTTGGTGTAGGACCGTCACCATTTATTTTTGGTTTTGGTCTTGTGATAATTGGTCTTGACTGAGCTATTGTTTGGATTTTTGTTAGTACTTGGTCATGGTTTTGTTGGTTTGGCCGAATTTCCTTCTGTGTTTGGTTTTCTTCAAAAATGTTTGAAATTGTGGGAATATGGAGGCTTTGTGAATCTGAAGAGACAGCTGTATTATATATCTCCATAGTGCTTATTGTGGGAGGGAATAATGTGGACATTGAAGCTGGTAGGAATGGCATCTTTTCAATGTCTTTATTATTATTTGTCATTCCTCCAGAATTTAAGTATTTATGCTTATCGTTTGTTTTGATGAGGCCTTGTTTTGGTGGAGTTTCTGGTTGTACATGGAAATTCTGTGTGGAATTGCTAGAGCTTGGCATCAAATGCGCGTCTTCAGCTGGCTTTTTACTGTAAGTCTCTTCAAAAGCATTAAGTGCTGAAAGACCATTGCTCGTAAAATCTTCCTGACCTGCTGCCAATGTAAGGACTGTGGGGCCTGCCAACGAAGTCGGAGATGCTTCAGAGGCCTCTTTGTTTTTATTCTGTTCATTAGGTCCATTTACCAGACTAATAGAAGCTTCTTGAGTCACTGCTGTAATTGTGGAACTTCTGAAATTATACTGAGGTTCGGTGCTTGACTTACTAATGGCCTGGCTTTTGGATAAGATATTGTGCTCTGCTGAGGTTTTTGATATTGCGTTAATTCTGTCATGATTTAAAGAGACTGTCTGTTCAGTCTGACTCATTCTATTTGGTGACACTTGATGGCCAGTTATGGAAACCATGATTGGTGCTTTTAGTAATGTAGATTTGGTGTCTGGTGTTTCTGGTCTGGGAGTTGGAGTAATGGCCATAACTGTTGGAAAAGATACTGAGGTTAACCATACTCTGGCAGTGGGCAGCTGTGGAGATGAGTTAGACTTATTTAGCCTTGATTTTAGTCTGTTGGGTCTTTTCCGACCACCAACCCTCCTTGAATTCAATGGGTTTCTTGTGCGTGATGGGACCAAGTTGGAATGAGACCTCTGCCTTGTCTGTTTTTTATTTGGGGCAGCAGTTTGTATTAGCAGTTGAAGAGAACTATTGTTTTTGTTGATCATATCCTTTAATTTGGAATCAGGTAGAGCTGTTGTAGGGAATGTTAATATATTTGTTTTTACATAATTATCTGTACTTGTTACGGCATTGGAATTATCTTTAGGTGATAATATCTCTGCTTGTTTATCTTGGCCATGATACAGTTCATCATCATCTTTTGAACTTTGTGTCATAGTAGGTTCATTACTTCCATCTGATTCAATATTGCTGCCAGATCTTATAAAATCTTTGGGAGCTGCCATAGATGAACTACTGGCCAGCGTGCTACTATGCATTTTCCATGTTGGGACAGGTTCTGTCACATGTATAACATCTGTGTTGTATTTCCCTTCGTTATAATTTTTTGTGACAATATCATTGGGTACTTGTGGATCAGATGTGGAATGTAAAATATAACTACTAGTGGTGACAACATCTGAGTTAACATTTGTTTGTGGGGCAGATATTTGATATATATGGCTGCTCTGGTCTTCAGCTATTGAGGCTTTTGTGATTAGGTTGTACTTGACATTTTCAGTTGGAGGCTGTATTGTGGAGACTATAAAATCTCTGTCTTCCTGTAAGTTTGTATAACCAATGGAAGATCCTTCAGAGTCATTATTAGGTTCAGATACTTTGATAATCTGCTCTGTCGTTGTTGGTAAACTAGTTGGAACAGACTTGAATTTCTCGCTCCCCGGATTATTTCTGTCACGGATTTTTGCTAAAATGTTAGCCCATTGCTGTGGGTCTATTTTTTTATTTAATGTATTAATTCTTCTTCTTGGGTCTACTGTATTCTTTCCATTGTCCATGTGGGGACCTTTCTCATTTGGTTTTCTCCGTGGAATTGGTCTTCTCCAAGAATTTCTTGATGGATGCCCTTGAACATTGCTCTTCTGACCCCTCCTTTGATTTTGCAAATGTGAATGAACAGAAGATGCTCTTTCTGGAACACCATCCCCAGACGACTCCTCATCTTCTTCCACCAAAGCTTTTACTTTGGTTGAAATACCTGAGGCAGGCTGGGGTCGCATGGGGATCCTCCTCAAAGGCTTTATCCCTTGTCGCCGTATAATACTTACATTTGTTGCCACAGAATCTATGCCATGCAAGTTTAATGCCACACATTTGTAATATCCACTGTCAGTCAAACGACTCTCTGGTATAAGTAATGTCCCATTTGCATAAACAAAAGCCCTGGATGAGCTGCCTTTAAAGTTAATCACACTGCTGTCAGGAAGGATCCAGTTTAACTCTGCATTGGGGGTACCAGAAGCACTACAGGGCAGAGAGAGAGTTTCCCCACTTAATTTAGTCACTTTGGAGCTTTCTTCATTTCCTGGGGAAGGCCTTGAGGAATCATCAACAGAAAGGCGAAAAGGAAGAACATCAAGGTCACCCCTCACCTGAGCAGTGCAGTAGTACACACCAGAATCTGAGTGGTCTACTGATTTAATAATCAGTCTTCCTGTACTGGAGACAGAAACCCTATTGTTAGCACTAGTATAAGGTGCAACCACTTTTGAGCCATCTGGAAGAATCCAAGTAATATCTGGATGACCAGAACTGAGTACATTGCAATCCATTTCACTTGTACCTCCAACAACAGCACTGAGCATGGTCCTGGTGTCATTTTTTGATTCTATCATAACCCATGTCCTTTCTTCCCTTCTGATCATTTCTGTTTCGACCGCTTGTGAAAAGCGAGTGCTGAAGATTAACTTGACATGTTTTCCAGTCGAATGAGGTCTATTCAGCTGTAGGCTGACAAATGACTGCATCAGCCATGAGGGCTGCGCCATAATGGCAGCTCTCACCCCTGTGTAGTAATAGGCATCTTTTTCCATATCCTGTCTGTATCTATAACTTAAATTTGGCTCTTTGGTGAGCAGGATTTCTCTCTGTAGATGTACAGGAACTTCACTGTAGTAGGCGATGAGCTTCCACAATTTCTCATAGTTTGCCCGATCTATTGGACATTCAAAATCCACAAAGATGGTCACGTTTGCAGTAATCTGTTGGCTGTTTGTGTGGTTCCAACTGATTTTTGTAGACTCCTGAGGTTCATTAATAATGCAGTCAAGATCGACTTTGTTCCCATGCTCATCGGACAGATTGAGTGTGACATTTCCGAAAGTTCCTTTAAAATGCTCCAAAGAGAGAATTTCACCCTCCACATCTTGGGGAATAGGACTGACTCGATGTGAGTTAATGACTGGACCTGCGCAAGTGAATTCTTCTTGTTCCATGATATCTTTACTTCTCAAATGCTTTGGTGAAGAACACGCTGGACACAGCTCACCATTTGGATAAGCTTTATCTTTCTTGCACTTCAGCACATCTGCGAAGTAAGGCACAATATTTAATGTAAAATAATCTATTTTTCAATGAGTCAGTATAAACTGGCATTTTGTTATTATCCTGTTTTAACAGATGTTTCACCCCAGTGTGACTTGCATAAATCACAATTTTATATTTAGGAAATTCCAGTTAAGCACTTCCTTAAAACTGGAAGGTTCTTGCTGTGACCTACTTTATTAAATATTATAGTATTGTGTCCCATATTTAAAGATCATATAAAAATACACTAAACCCAAACTGCCAGAATATGAAAATCAAAAACATATGCACATTTTTATTGCATAGTTTTCTGTTTCTCTTTTAGGTCATTCTGGATATTAGTGTTTGAAAATTAAAGGGATTATTGCAAATTATTTATTATGTCCGTCTTTTTACCTGAAGAAAGTGTGCTCCAGTCAATGAACCATTTTAACCCGCAGTCACAGACCCACGGGTTCCCATGCAGGAACAGACTCTCCAGCTGTGTCATCTTCTCCAGCATCTGCCTGGGCAAAGTGGCAAGGCTGTTGTTTGAAAGGTATAGATGCTTCAAGGTGGAGATATGGAAGTGCTCTAGGAGGGAGAACGTCGCAAAGGTAGCAGGGTGGAGCCGCTGTAGGTGGTTCCCTTCCAGATTGACCAGGCGAAGAGCTGTCAGGCCTTGGAAGGCATCAGGGTGGATGAATTCAATTTTGTTGTGATCTAAGTGTATTCGAATCAAGCTCGATAACCCTAGAAAAGTGTTTCTTTTGATGACTCTCAGTTTGTTGAAACTCATCTTCAGGACCTAGAACATAATGGACAGGAACAGAATGGCAGTATTTCAGTCATTTTTTCCTTCACAGTTAAGTGTTCCATGCTTGTTCTGGATCATCAGCTCTTTTCCTTAAAGTAAGAAAAAAAAACCTCAGAACTGCTGAAACTGACTTCCCCTCTTCTAAAGCCATCAAAGAACTTAAGTGCTCAGCATGTACCTCATCCATGTAAAATTTGCAAAAACAATCAAAATTGTTACGGAAAGAAGCTTTTCCAGTGCAAATAAACAATACTCTTGTAATCATAACAGTTCTCTACCAGGTAATGGTTTTTGCCAACTTGCAACTGTTTCTTTTTATCCGTCCAATAACAAACCCTTATGGCAGCCTGGCCTGCAGCATCAAGGGGGGGCAGGGGGCTGGAACCTATCATAGGCAGCAAGCATAGGGCACAAGGCAGGGGTGGACACAGAACAGAATGTCCATGCAGGACACAAAGCCTATGGAATGTTTATATATATATACACACATACATATAAATTAACCTAATTTCATGCTTTGGCAGAAAGTTTGACAGAAAACTTCATGCCATGAGAGGTGGGATTGGAACCCCTAACCCTTCAGATGCAGAGCAACAGCAGCACACACTGAGCCACTGTGTGGCCTGGGCAGCCTTAAATGTAAATGCAAATGTGGTGACTGGCAGCATATAAGAGACAGGAACGCCATTTTACTGAATATAATTTGCATAGACATAGGCTGTCTACATTAATTTATATTTATTTTGTCGTCAATTTTTTTTCTCTTCATTTAAAGTCTAATATTTACTTTGGTTAAATTTAATTTAAAAACATGACATAATAAAATTACTCAGAGGGATCATAGAAAAACATGTCATATAATATATGTTATTATACATAAAACTGTATTTAACAGATCAGCAAATCTAGTTAGTATAGCCACCACAGTGGAAGAGAAGCACAGTTTAAGGACTGTAGCTTCAAGACTGTCCCCAAAAGGGCCTTGGTGTTATACTCTTGATATGAAATGTAACAACTATAATCAGTAGCTGGGTTAAGACCGGCTGACTTATGGACAACTTGTACCTAGGAACTGACTGCCAAAAAGCACACTATATAAAAAATTCAGGTTAAATACAATGATTTGTATTAACGAATGCATGCACTTCTTTGTGACACTTATGAAACAGGGACTGCCTGTATGGGGACTGCATGTATGGGGATTGCATGCATGGGGACTGCATGTATGGAGACTGCATGCATGTGGACTGCCTGTATGAAGACTGCATGCATGGGGACTGCATGTATGGCGACTGCCTGTACGGGGATTGCATGCATGTGGACTGCCTGTATGGGGACTGCATGCATGTGGACTGCCTGTATGGGGA